TTGTTGTTGTTGTTGTTGCTGTTGTTTTACAGCTGAAACCAACCAGCAAGCCCTTGATGACCAAGAGGCGTTTCTTTCAAAGCTATAGGGCACAAACAATTGACCATAGATGACTCTGTTTTCATTCTTCAGAAGAATTACTTCCTTCAGGGACAGATTTTTCAACCTCAGAAACTACCTACTGTGTATATTCTCTTGACGGGGAGAGATGGACCCTCCAGCCGCTAGGATTCAAGAAAACGCCTCGCTGCCTTAACCGGAACTGTTCTTCCTGGCGCTACAAAGAGCTGTACTTTTTAAAGTGCTGGGGCAAACAAAGCAACCCCAAAACAATTGACATGTGTTTTAAAAGAAAAAACCCAATGAGGAACAATTGGTGATTTTTATGCAGAAACTAAATAATCCTTAATAAATAAATCTCTATTTTGGAATCACATCTGTGCACTGTATTGGTTCTTGATTTTTTTTTTTTTCTTTCCTGCATTGAAAATTACAACTGGGGACCCTTACAAATCCTACCAAGAACTTATTTTCTGGCCTCCACGGTTTTAAAATTTTATTTATTTATTTTATTATTTTTAAATGTTTTTGTAGAGATTGGGGTCTTGCTATGCAAAGTTGCCAGGCTGGTCTCAGTCTCCTGGCCTCAAGCAATCCTCCTGCCTCAGCCTCCCAAAGGGTTGGGATTACAGGCATGAGCCACTGCACCAGGCCTGGCCTCCATGGTTTTAAAAAACAGAACTGGTTGCTGCATGGAGAAACGGGAATTTCACATAAGACTCTTGGGTTTTGGCAGGGTGCAGTGGCTCACTTCTGTAATCCCAGCACTTTGGGAGGCTGAGGCGGGTGGATCACTTGAGGTCAGGAGTTCGAGACCAGCATGGCCAACATGGTAAAACCCCGTCTCTACTAAAAATACAAAAATTAGCCAGGCGTGGTGGCAGGCACCTGTAATCCCAGCTACTTTGGAAGCTGAGGCAGGAGAAGCACTTGAACCCGGCAGGCAGAGGTTGTAGTGAGTCGAGATTGCACCATGGTAATCCAACCTGGCCGACAAGAACAAGACTCCATCTCAAAGAAAAAAAAAAAAAATCTTGAGTTTCTGTAGCCATAAAAAAGAATGAGTTCATGTCCTTTGCAGGGACATGGATGAAGCTGGAAGCCATCATTCTCAGCAAACTAACACAGGAACAGGAAACCAAACACCGCATGTTCTTACTCATAAGTGGGAGTTGAACAATGAGAACACATGGACACAGGGAGGGGAACATCACACACTGGGGCTTGTCGGTGGTGGGGGCAAGGGGAGGGAGAGCATTAGGACAAGTGCCTAATGCATGCAGGGTTTAAAACCTAGATGATGGGTTGATAGGTGCAGCAAACCACCATGGCACATGTATACCTATGTAACTTATAATTAAAAAAAGAAAAGAACCTTGGATTTGTAGCTTCTTTTGAAAAACCAGGCTGCCTGGCGGGAGCTGAGAGATGACTGCCCCCTTGGCTGGGCAGGGCAAGGGAAGGGGGAATCCATTCTCCACTTTGCCTTAGTCTCCACCCATCCCTATTGCCTCCCCACCCCGGACCAGTTTGCACTTTTTCATGGGCTGTTGTTTTTTCTGATTCTAGGGTTAAATGTAGAGGGAAATATTTATTTTATTTTGGCCTCCGAAAATGCTGGGATTACAGGCATGAGCCACCGCCCCTGGCCAAGAAAAGATCACTTTAAGGCCAAACACAGCTGCTCACACCTGTAATCCTCGCACTTTGGGAGGCCAAGGCAGACGGATCACTTGAGGTCAGGAGTTTGAGACCAGCCTGGCTAACATGGTGAAACCCCATCTCTACTAAAAATACAAAAATATTAGCTGGGGTGGTGGTGTGCACCTGTAATCCCAGCTACTCTCCTGCTAAGGCAGAGAATCGCTGGAACTCGGGAGGCAGAGGTTGCAGTGAGCCAAGATTGTGCCACTGCACTCCAGCCTGGGAGACAGAGTGAGATTCCCTTTCCAAAAACAACAACAACAAACATTTTTTAATTAAAAATATTAGCTGGACATGGTAGCCAGCTACTTGGGAGGCTGAGGCAGGAGAATCGCTTGAACACAGGAGGTGGAGGCTGCAGTGAGCCAAGACTGCACCAATGCACTCCAGCCTGGGTGACAGAACTAGACTCTGTCTCAAAAATAAATAAATAAATAAAAATTTAAAAATCACTTTAAAAAGGAGAGACAGAATTCTGTATTTCTAGGAAATCCAAAGGGAAAAAAAAAACTAAAAAGCAATTAGAGCTTAGAATGAGCAGTAGCATCCCTAATCTGAGGATTATTAAAAAATATAATAAAATAGGCTGGGCATGGTGGCTCACACCTGTAATCCCAGTACTTTGGGAGGCAAAGGCGGGTGGATCACCTAAGGTCAGGAGTTCAAGACCAGCCTCGCCAAGATGGTGAAACCCCGTCTCTACTAAAAATATGAAAATTAGCCAGATGTGGTGGTGGGCGCCTGTAGTCCCAGTTACTTGGGAGGCTGAGGCAGGAGAATGGCATGAACCCGGGAGGTGGAGCTGGCAGTGAGCCAAGATCACACTACTGCACTCCAGCCTGGGCAACAGAGCAAGACTCCATTTCAAAAAAAAAATCTTTTCTTCATGTCTCTGACATAATATGGTGAGACCGGGAGGGCAAATTTTTATGGAAGGCAGGGATTTTTCCAGGCCAGCCCCCGTTCCTAGTACCTGCGGGGATCCTGGGAGCATTTTGGGTTTTCGACCCCAGAGACAAAAGCCAGCAGGGCATCAATGCCCTTCCCGTTTCATCCTTGTCAAAGTGGGACTGAGTTCCACCTGGGGCAGGGAGGAAAGAACACACATTGATTACTATATAACAGGCCCTGCAAAAGTGCTCTACACAAATCATTTCACAACCACCTGAGATGTGGACCTCAGTAGCCCCATTTATCAGAGTAGGAAATTGAACTCCCTAGGGTGTGGCAAAGAGGCTTGCCCAGGGTGACCCAGCCAGATATGGGGCCACAGGAGTTTCACGTCCAACTCCAAATCTCCCGTCAGCTGTGTTCACTTGTGTGCCAGCTGACAGCCGTTTTCAGCACACCTCCTGCCAAAGCATTCCCACTGATGGGGCGCTGCCTTATCTGACCCAGGTTGACTGCACAGAAACCCAAATTAGCTCAAATGTTTGATGAGGGTTGACATTCACCTGTTGATTCATTCAACTAAAACTCACTGAGCCCATTACAATGCAACATGTCAAACCCACTGTAATACATCACTGTTCTAGACAAGGAACTGAAATTCACTTTGTAACAATTAAACAGCAGAAGAACTTTTGTCTTTTTAAAAACAGGGTCTTGCTTTGTCACCTAGGCTGGAATGCAGTGGTGCAATCATAGCTCACTGCAGCTTTGAACTCCTGGGCTCAAGAGATCCTTCTGCCTCAGCCTCCCGAGTAGCTGGTACTACAGGCATGCACCATCATGCCTGGCTAATTTTTTTTTGAAAAGGAGTTCTGCTCTGTTGCCCAGGCTAGAGTGCAGTGGTGTGATATCGGCTCACTGCAGCTTCCACTTCCTGGGTTCAAGCAATTCTCCTGCCTCAACCTCCTGAGTAGCTGGGATTACAGGTGCCCGCCAACACACCCAGCTACTTTTTGTGTTTTTAGTAAAGACGGGGTTTCACCATGTTGGTCAGGCTGGTCTCGAACTCCTGACCTCAGGTGATCCACCTGCCTCGGCCTCCCAAAGTGCTGGGATTACAGGCGTGAGCCACCCCATCCAACCCCAGCTAATCTTTAAACAATTTTTTTGTATTGACTATGTTGTCCAGACTGGTCCATTTTTGTTTAAGGGGCCTTTACCCATTCCTGTTTGAAAGCTAGGATAATTTTAGAGCCACTGAGATAAAATGCAGAAATAGAAATCACATAGTTTTCAAAACTAACTTTAGGATTAAGAGGAAGTATGTAGACAACTATACTTTGTTAAAGACTTATAGGAACAAGGAGATTTGGCTATTGTCACATGAGAGACCATTATCCAAGGACAAAGAAGTTTCACAACCTCCCCCTCAACCCTTGCCAGCACCCAGATGTCTGCAGTTGGCCTCTTTCTTTCCCCGTTTACCTAACATATAAGGCAAGGCCAAGCCCATTTATATATATATATTTTTAGATAGAGTCTCGCTCTGTTGCCCAGGCCGGAGTGCAGTGGTGTGGTCTCGGCTCACTGCAACCTCTGCCTCCCAGGTTCACGCTATTCTCCTGCTTCAGCCTCCTGAGTAACTGGTACCACAGACATGCACCACCACGCCCAGCTAATTTTTTTATTTTTAGTAGAGACGAGGTTTCACCACGTTGGCCAGGATGGTCTCGATCTCTTGACCTTGTGATCCGCCCACCTCAGCCTCCCAAAGTGCTGGTTGCACGTATGAGCCACCGCGTCCGGCCCAAGCCCATATAATTCTAAGAGAGCTCTTTAGAACATTTAGGCCATCTGGGTTTGCTGGCTCTCCGAAATAAAGTCGCTTTCCTTGTTCCAACTCCTGGCCTCTAGACCGAGTGGCTGTCATGCAGGGAGCAGAAGGAGTTTGAACTCGGTTACAACTTCACCTTTCAGAATTTCAGTTTCCTTATCTGTAACACACAGGTCTCGTTGTGAGGCTTCAATTAAATGTTACCATTTGTAAGGTAATTAGAACAATGTTTGGAGCATAGTAAGCTGCCTTCGTAGGGGTTCAGGCGTTCAATAAAACTGCAAGGATATACTTACGTGATGTGGGGCATACGCTGATGAGATCGAATACTGGAGTCCTGGGTCTGCTGTCTATTAGGGAAGTAGACTTGGACAGCTCACTTCACCCCTCTGAGCCTCAGTTTTCTCATCCATGCAATGGGAATACCAACAGTTGCTAGCTCACTCAGTCAATGAAGCGGCCTGGGCAGGCGCTTATCTGCGTAATCGTTCAATGTTGACCAAATTACCGTCGTTTGCAGGAGGTTATATGGGGACACCACCCTTCAGTTTTGCTGGTTGGTGGATGGTTTCCCGGGTTCACGCCGCCCCCACAGCCCTGCGCCTGCGCATTGAGCGCCTGCAGCTCCCATGGGCCCGGTAGGCGGCGCTGTCCCCATTGTGCCGCAGAGGCAGAGCTGGGAGGCCCCGCCAGGCCCTGCGCCTCCCCGCACCCCACCAGGGTCCCGCCCGCTCCCAAAGTGGGTGGGACGGAGGGAGGGCAGCAGGGGCAGGAGAACTTGTTCTCCTACCGTGCTTGGGCTGTTTCCTAGGGGCTAAATGAGAAGCCTCACTTGAACACTGTTGGGAAAGTTTGCAGCTCGTCCAGCAGATGCCTTGGGGCCCTGAGTTCACACCTGCCTCAGTGTGAAGGTCATTAGGTATGTCCTGTTATTTTCACTGCTTCTACTGCCACCAGCACCACCACCACCTAACAATTCTTGGGTTCACGTCCAGGTTCTGAAACTTTGTAATTGAGTGCCCAGGACAAGTCAGTTCCCCTCTCTGAGCTTCAGTTTCTGCATCTGTGAAATGGGACAGAAACATCTCTACCTTGTAGGATTACATTAAATAAGGTGTGTAAAATACCTAACACATAGAAGATATTCAATAACTGGATTGTGTTAATATTTTTATTAATTATGATGCTACAGCCTGCCAAAGGCTCCTGAAAGGACAACTGGTTCTTAATGCAGTTAAACTGGAGCATTTTCACCTACTCGTTGTTCTTGTTTGTTTGTTTGTTTTGGGACAGAGTCTTGCTCTCTTGCCCAGGCTGGAGTGCAGTGGTGCGATCTTGGTTTACTGCACCCTCTGCCTCCTGGGTTCAAGTGATTCTCCTATCTCAGCCTCCAGAGTAGCCAGGACTACAGGCATATGCCACCACGCCCAGCGAATTTTTGTACTTTTATTTTTAGTAGAGACGGGGTTTTACCATGTTGGCCAGGCTGGTCTTGAACTCCTGACTTCACATGATCCGCCCACCTCAGCCTCCCAAAGTATTGGGATTACAGGCGTGAGCTACCACTCCTGGCCTACTCCTTGTACTTAAAGATACAGTAGGGCCTTTCTCAACACATCAACAAGGAACACTCCAGAAAATAGTGTGCATTCTCAACTCTCACTCTGCCCTGATCCGCTGTGTGACTCTGGGCAAGCCTCTTCTGTCCTCTGGGTCTCAGTTTCATCTTTAAAATTGGGATTAGCAACCTAAATGCCCGCTGATAGACAGTGGAGAAAGAAAGTGTGGTATATACACACACTGGAATACTATTTGGCCTTATGAAAGAATGAAATCATGTCATTTGCAGCCAACATGGCTGGCAGTGGAGGTCATTATGTTTAGTGAAATAAGGCAGGCACGGAAAGACAAATATTGCATGTTCTCACTCATTTGTGGGGGCTTTAAAAAAAGATATCGTGGAGTTAGAGAATAGAATGATAGGCCGGGTGTGGTGGTTCACGTGTGTAATCCCAGCACTTTGGGAGACCCAGGTGGGTGGATCACTTGAGGTCAGGAGTTTGAGACCAGCCTGGCTAACATGGTGAAACCCTGTCTCTACTAAAAATATAAAAATTAGCTGGGTGTGGTGGTGCACACCTGCAATCTCAGCTACTTGGGAGGCTGAGGCAGGAGAATCACTTGAACCCAAGAGGTGGAGGTTTCAGTGAGCCGAGATCGCGCCACTGCACTCCATCCTGGGGGACAGAACTAGACTCTGTCTAAAAAAAAAAAGTTTTTTTCGAGACTCGAATGATAGATACCAGAGTCTGGGAAGGGTGTGATAGAGAGAGGGCGGGATAAAGAGAGGTTGGTTAATGAGTACAAACATATAGTTAGGTAGGAGAAATAAGCCCCAATATTCCATAGCAGAGTAGTTACTACTATAGTTAGCAACAATGTGTTGTATATTTCTTTCTCTTTTTCTTTTTTTTTGAAACAATGTCTGTCTCCGTTGCCCAGGTTGGAGTGCAGTGACCCAATCTTAGCTCACTGCAACCTTCACCTCCCAGGCTCAAGCCATCCTCCTGCCTCAGCCTCCCAAGTAGCTGGGATTACAGGCATGCACCAGCATGTCCAGTTAATTTTTGTTGTTGTTGCTGTAGTTGTTGGAGATAGAGTCTTGCTCTGTCTCCCAGGCTGGAGAGCAGTGGCACGATCTTGGCTCACTACAACCTCTGCCTCCTGAATTCCAGTGATTCTCCTGCCTCAGCCTCCTGAGTAGCTGGGACTACAGGCATGTGCCACCATGCCCAGCTAATATTTTTGTATTTTCAGTAGAGATGGAGTTTCCCCATGTTAGCCAGGTTTGTCTCGAACTCCTGACCTCAAGTGATCCATCCGCCTCGGCCTCCCAAAATGCTGGGATTACAGGCGTGAGCCACTGCGCCCGGCCCTAATTTTTGTATTTTTTGTAGAGGTGGAGGTTTCATCAGGTTGGCCAAACTGGTCTCGAACTCCTGACCTCAAGTGATCTGCCCACCCCAACCCCACAAAGTGCTGGGATTATAGGCGGGAGCCACTGCGCCCAGCTTGTGTATTTCAAAGTAGCTAGCAAGGAGGACTTGAAATGTTACCTACTCACAGAAACGATAAATACGAGTGATGGATACCCCAAATACCCTGACCTGATCATAACATATTCTGTACATGTAACACTCACTTTGTACCCCATAAATATGTAAAATATTTTCTGTCAATAAAAAAATAAGTAAAAACAATGTACACTACTCTGGTGACAGGAACACTAAAATCTTAGACTTCACTGCTATACAATTCATCTGTGTAACCAAAAACCACTTGTTCTCCAAAAGCTATTGAAAATATAGATATACACACACACACATATATATATAAAATTAAAAATAAGTAAATAAAAATAAAGCAAAATTGGGATTAGATAGTTCAGAGTTCCTGCCCAGCTCTGACAATCTACAATGGATACCTTTTTTTTTTTTTGAGACAAAGTTTTTCCCTTGTTGCCCGGGCTGGAGTGCAATGGTGCGATCTCAGCTCACCGCAACCTCTGCCTCCCAGGTTCAAGCGATTCTCCTGCCTCAGCCTCCAGAGTAGCTGGGATTACAGGAGTGCGCCACCACACCTGGCTAATTTTGTATTTTTAGTAGAGACAGAGTTTCTCCATGTTGGTCAGGCTGGTCTCCACCTCCCGACCTCAAGTGATCCGCCTGCCTTGGCCTCCCAAAGTGCTGGGATTATAGGCGTGAGCCATTGGACCCGGCCAATGGATACCTTTTACCACTGTATCCAGCTCCTGGCTTGTATTTATAAGTCCAGTGAAATCTATGCTCTGCTTCTGACAAGGAATGGGGCCACAGATGCAAATACACTTAGCACAGCGCCTCCTGCCAGAGGGTGCTGGATAAAAGGCAGCTGTGAAGATAATGAACCCTTAATCAGTCCTTGATCTGACCCAGAGAAGATTGTCTGGAAGGGACAGTCATTCAACCCCTGTTTGCTGAGCACTTACTATGTTCAAGGCTCTGAACGCGGCTCAGGGGATCTTGCAAGAAGACAGATAAGGTCTCTCTCCCTCTCTCTTTCTCTTTTTTTTTTTTTTTTTTTTTTAATTTTCAGACAGAGTCTTGCTCTGTTGCTCAGGCTGGAGTGCAGTGGCGTGATCTCAGCTCACGGCAACTTCCGCCTCCCAGGTTAAAGCCATTCTCCTATCTCACCCTCCTGAGTAGCTGGGATTACAGGTGCGCACCAGCATGCCTGGCTAATTTTTGTATTTTTAGTAGAGATGGGGTTTCACCATGTTGGTCAGGCTAGTCTCGAACTCCTGACCTCAGGTGATCCACCTGCCTCATCCTCCCAAGGTGCTGGGATTACAGGCGCCTGGCCGACAGATAAGGTCTCTATTCCCCAGGGGTACAACAAGGTCCAGTGCACAGTGAATCCAGAGAGGGAAATGAGCAATGGAGGACAGCAAAAGGGGTCATGTGATGGAAGTGACTATAAGACCCCTGATTTAGATTGGAGTCCAGGTGGGCAGCGCTCTCTGAGGAGGTGACATTTGAGCTGGGATCTGAAGGGGCATAGCTAGTGCAAAGGCCCTGGGGCAGGAGAGAAAGCAACATGCACCAAGGACGGAGAGAGGCCAAGGTGGCCAAAGCCTGGAGAAGAAGAGAGGATGGCAGTGGGGGATGAAACCTACAGGTGCTGAGGCCCGCGTGAGTGTGATTTTTGGTCTAAGAACAGGGGAAATCATAGCCCCTGTGAGTAGGGGGTGACAGAGCCAGTTTACAGGTTGTGAGCTGTTAGCCAGGATCTATTTCTAGGGGTCCCTTTGGGGGACTCGGAAGAGAGGCTGTCCCCTCCCCTGCCCCAATCCAACCTCTGCTCCTTCCTGGCTGGTAAAGTGAGGCTTCCTCACACAAAGTGTGCTTTACTTTGCTGGGGGTATGGGGTAGGAAGGGTGTCCCAGGCCTCTGAAAGTCATGATCCTCTCTCACCCCCCTCACAATTTCACTCCCTGTTCTAGGACCTCCATGGACTCCCAGTTGTCCACGCAGGGACCTCAGCTGAGAAGTCCTGAATCAGCCTGCTTTCCCTGGGACCAAGGCCTGGACATTCCCACCCCTGCCTGTGCCATGGCCTTCAGATGGAGGCTATCTTTGAAGTGCCTGTGGCCAGCTGTGACTGGCCCTACCCACAGGCCACCATGCCCGGCTGCCCAGAGGAATGGAATCACAGCCAGTGGCTGGGCGGCTGAGAGTGGCTGTGCCCATGGCAACGGTCATCTGAGATGAGCTTCCTCCCCACCTGGCCTCAGGTTTCTGGCCCAGAGAGAATTCCAGAAGAGCCTCATTGAAAGTCCCTGGCAGGGCGGGGCCCCTGGTATCTGGGACAAAAGCTGGCTATTCTCAGGACCAGGGTGGACAGAGCCACTGATTGTCTGCAGCCTCTTTCTGTCTAGTCTCTGTAGCTTCTTGGTAAATGGGGGGAGATGTGATTTCATGGGGAACCTGGGAGACTCCTCCCTGCTGTGTGGCCCTGGGGAGGTTCCTTCACCTCTCTGGGAGTGCTTCCTCTCATGCAGCTGGACGGAGCTCATGAAGGCAGAGTCCTACACAGTGCCTGTGGCACACAGCAAGCAGTGCATAAATGCATACATGTTAGCGCTGGTGCTTCCCCTGCCCTTTCCTCCCTAGTTTCCTGTGTTTTTCCTTCTTTTTGTCATGATTTGAGCCCATCTGTGGCATTCACTGGGGAAAGAGCAAAGAAGGCCGACCAGAATGTGTCTCCATGTCTCCTACCCCACCCCTCCTCCCTGATCTCATCCTAGGGGGTGTGAACAGAGACCCCCTTGGTGGTGAGGGGCCTGAGGCACACAGGACAGTGGGAAGTGGTTGCTTAGTGGCTGAAAGGTGCAGTTGGAATTCAGACAATCCTGGATTTGAATCCTGACGGCACCATTGGCAGGTATGTATCTCTTCAGGCAAACGGCTTTCACTGTGTGGAGCCTCAGTTTGTTGGTCTGCAAAAGGTAGGGGAGAAGACCTGCCCACAGGAGGGGTGGATGAGATGAAGATGATGGGGAGGAGGGAAGTGGGGCTGAGAGGCTGGCGCAGGAGGGGCTGAGAGGCTGGGATTTGCAGGGTTCCAACCCCACATGGTGGCCTTGGCTATATCTATACCTCAGAGACCCACTCCAGGCCCCCAGGGACCCAGACATTAACTCTTGGCCTAAACCAACCACCAGCTGGGCAAAGGGGAGGGGGCGGGGTTAAGAGGGGACATGGGATGAAGGAAGGGAGAGAGCAAGGGAGGACAGCAGGGAGTGTGGGGAAGGAGAGGAAAGAAGTTTCTGCCTGGGGAGTGAGGAGGAGAGCTATGCTTGCTGTCTTTTGGACTCAGTAGTTCCCATTCGTAAAATGGGCACAATCAAATGGGGAAACTGATGCTCACTTCACAGGGTTGCTGGGAAGGAAGATGTGAAGGAACATACGGGAGAGCACTAGCTAAAGCTGGAAGCGCGTGGGTGGGAGGGCACGTGAAGTTAGTCTTGGAGGAGTTGGGGCCACATTGTGGGACTATTTATTGAACAGTTGCTATGTTCCTGTACTGCCCAGCCCTCACAAGCCCTGTTGTGTTTCATCCCTACAACCTGAAGAGGCAGGGGATGTTACTGCTCTCATTTTACAGATGAGAGAAGCAAGGCTCAGAGAGGCAAAGTCACCTGCCCCAGGTCACAGCTTACAAGTATGATAGAGCCACACTGAATACTTTTGATCCTAGAGATCATGTCTTCTCCTTCTCCTTCTCCTTGTCCTCCTCCTTTTTGTAGAAGTGGGTTCTCACTATGTTGCCCACGCTGGTCTTGAACTCCTGGCCTCAAGCGTTCCTCTTGCCTCAGCCTCCCAAAGTGCTGGGATGACAGTACATGAGCCACTGTACCTGGCTTTCTTCTTTTTTTAAAAAGAAAATTTCACAACAGCTTTATTAAGATAATCATATACCATACAATTCACCCACTTAAAGTATACTCTTCAATGATTTTTATTTTATTTATTTACTTAATTTTTAAATTTTTTTGTGTCTCACTCTGTTGCCTAGGCTAGAGTGCAATGGCGTGATCTCGGTTCACTGCAACCTCTGCCTCCCAGGTTCAAGCGATTCTCCTGCCTCAGCCTCCTGAGTAGCTGGGATTACAGGCCCGCATTACCATGCCCGGCTAATTTTTGTATTTTTAGTAGATACGGGGTTTCACCATGTTAGCCAGGCTGGTCTGGAACTCCTGACCTGGTGATCCTCCCACCTTGGCCTCCCAAAGTGCTGTGATTACAGGCATGAGCCACCGTGCCCGGTCTTCAGTGGTTTTTAGTATAGTCATACGTATGAGCAACCATCACCAATCAATTTTAGAATATTTGCATCATCCTGTTTGGTTGGGTGTGGTGGTATGCGCCTGTAGTCCCAGCTACTCAGGAGGCTGAGGTGAGAGAGTGTTTGAACCGAGGAGTTAGAGGGCACAGTGAGCTGTGGTTGCACTTCTGCGCTCCAGCCTGTGTGACAGAAAAAGAAAAAGCTCATACCCTTTAGCCATTAGCCTTGGCCCCCCAAATCCTCCCTTCCCCCCAGCCCCCGACAACCACTGATCTCCTTTCTGTTTCTATAGATTTGCCTCTTCTGACCATTTCATATACATGGAATTATCTAATATGCGGCCTTTTGCATCTGGCCACTTAGCATCCTGTTTCCAAGGTTCATCCATGTTGTTGCATGACTCAGTACACCATTCATTTTATTGCCAAATAGTATTCCATTGTGTGGATATACTGTGTTTATCCATTGAGAATTTGAGTCATTTTTTTTTTTTGGCTATTATGAATAATGCTGCTATGAACATTCAAGTTTTTCTATGGACGTAAGTTTTCATTTCTCTTGGTTATGTTCCTGGGGTGGAATTACTGGGTCATATGGGAACTCTAGATTTTTTTTTTTTTTTTTTTGAGACAGGATCTCACTGTGTTGCCGAAGCTAGAGTGCAGTGGCACAATCTCAGCTCACTGCAGCCTCTGCCTCCTGGGCTCAAGCAATTCTTGTGCCTCAACCTCCTGAGTAGCTGGGATTACAGGTGCCTGCCATCATGCCCAGCTAATTTTTGTACTTTTTGTTAGGGGTTTCACCATATTGGCCAGGCTGGTTTCGAACTCCTGGCCTCAAGCGATCCACCCGCCTTGACCTCCCAAAGTGTTGAGATTACAGGCAGGAGCCACCGTGCCCGGCAGTAACTCTAGATTTAATATTTGGAGGAACTGCCAGATTGTTTTCCAGAGCAGCCACCCCATTACACATTCCTACCAGCAGTGCGTGAAGATTCCAGCTTCTCCACTTCCTCACCCATACTTATGGTCTGTCTTTTTGAGATCATATCTATATATACATATATTTTTTCTAGACAGGGACTTGCTTTGCTGCCCAGGCTGGAGTGCAGCTGCCCGAACACAGCTCACTGCAAGCTCGACCTCTGGGGCTCAAGTGATTCTCCTGCCGCAACCTCCCCAAATGCTATGATTACAGGTGTGTGCCACCGCGCCTGGCCAAGAAAATATTCCTGCTGGTCATGCTACACTGTAGAGTCTGCTGGGCTTGGGTTCAAATCTTACCAGCTGTGGGATCTCAGACGAGTGGCCTCTTTGTGTCATTATCTATAAAATGGCGGAAGAATTCCTCCTTTCCAGGCTGTCAAAAGATGAACTGAATTGGTGGCAGGATCAGGACTATGCCAACTGTAAAGTGAGGTGCATGTGTCTTGTTTTTATAACTGGGTACCCTGGGTGTAAAGTCCCTGAGATCCTGACCTGTCTGGCTCACCAATCTCTCCCCAGTGTCTGGCACTGGACCTGGCATACAGTAAGCACTTGGTAAATGCAGACCCTTGGCTGCTGCCCAGGAACCTTTCTTAGGGGAGGTAGCTGAGTCCACCTGGGGCAGTCCAGGAGCTGCGTGGAGAGCAAGGCTGCGCCCCACCTGTGGCTGCCACGTGACTCACAGCCAATGCTAAGGGCCTTGAAAGCTTTTCCTTCCCTAAGAGGAAAAGTTCTTTCTGGCCAGGCATAATGGCTCACGCCTGTAATCCTAGGGTTTTGAGAGGCCAGGTTATGAGGATCACTTAAGCACAGGAGTTTGAGACCAGCTTGGGCAGCATAGCGAGACCCCACCTCTATAAAAAATAAAATTTAAAAAGCCAGGCTTGGTGACATCCACCTATAGTCCCAGCTATTCAGGAGGCTGAGGTGGGAGGATGGCTTGAACCTAGGAATTTGAGGCTGCAGTGAGCTATGATCAGGCAACTGCACTGTAGCCTGGGCTACAGAGCAATACCCTGTCTCTCTCTAAAAAGAAAAAAAAAAAAATTAAACTTAAAAAGTATATTCATATTGTTGTGTGACCATTGTTGCCATCATTCATCTCTAGAACTCTTTGCATCTTGCAAAACTGAAACCCTATGCCCCAAACCAGCAATCTCCTATTCTCCTCTTCCCCAGCTCCATCAACCAGGATTTTTTTTTTTTTTTTTTTTTTTTTTGAGATGGAGTCTCTGTCTGTTGCCCAGGCTGGAGTGCAGTGGCATGATCTCGGCTCACTGCGACCTCCCTCTTCCAGGTTCAAGCAATTCTCCTGTCTCAGCCTCCCAAGTAGCTGGGATTACAGGTGCCCCCCACCACACCCAGCTAATTTTTGTATTTTTAGTGGAGACGGGGTTTCACCATATTGGCCAGGCTGGTCTCGAACTCCTGACCTCAGGTGATCTGCCCACCTCAGCCTCCCAAAGTGCTGGGATAACAGGCATGAGCCACTTCGTCTGACCCATCGACCAGTATTTTTAAAGCACCTACTAAGTGCCAGGTGCTAGACCTGTGGTCATGAACACGTTCCCTTGCTTCATGGGCACTGGTACCCATTTTTTAGATGGGGAAACTGAGGCACAGAGAGAGAGGAAGGCTCTTGCCCACAGCTCCCACCACAGCTCCTTCTCCCATCAGCGGTAGGGCAGGATTTGAACCCTGGTATCTGGTGCAGCGGCCAAGCTCCAGCTGCTTAGCCCAAGATGAGTCACTTCCCTGCATGGGGGCCTCAGTTGTCCCAGCTATGAAATGGGGATCAGGGAAGAGTTGGGTTAGCGATGCTGATGCTGAGGACTCAGGCCCCTTCCCTCTGAGCTTAGAGAAGAGCAGGTCGCCATCCCTGGCCCCATCTCCTCCAGTTCCAGTCCCCAACATCAGCCTCCTTGTGGCTGGAAGCACCCTTGCCATTGTCTTTGAAATCAAGACAGGCCTTTCTGCAGAAATGGGCCCCAGACTCACTCCTCCACCCTCAACCTGGCCCAGCCCCAACCCCAGCCCTGAGGGTCCGCAGCAGATAGCTGTCTGTCAGGGAGGTGTGAGGGGCCCTACGTTTACCTTCCTCTCCACTGCCAGACATCTGCCTGTTTACTCTGGACCCTCAGAGGGTTCTCTTTACCACCCCAACCCCCACCATGGAAGGAGCAGCTTTTGGAGAGGGCACACCCCTCTCCAAGCTGCAGTTTCCCGTTTGCAAAATGGGTACAGCAAACCCTACCTCACAGCCTGTTGCAAGAAAAGTTTACTTGGCAACACTTCTCCCTCTCACCCCCTATGCTTCTGTGCTCAGGGAGTTAATTATTAGGGTTTGTTTCTTTGTAAATGTTTCACACTGGAGGTGAACACATCAGTCGTATTCAGGGGTACACACACACACAC